TTGGAACGAAGTTGTTTTAAGAAGTAACGTTTTACTTCGTTATTTTCATTTTGCGGCGAAGTATTCGTTACTTTCCAACTTTTTTTAAATTTTACATGATTTATTCTCGATTTATTTTAATTTTGGAATAGGTAATACGACCTCTACATGCGTCTGGGATCTCTCGTTTGTGGCTTACTTATAAGCATTATTTATTTAATGGATTTCTTATATCTTCAACGGGGTCTGGAAAGTAGACCATGCCGTGAAATATTGTATATTAGGTACACGCATATAATGCGTTTGCTATTTTGTATCTTTTGTATGTCGACCAATCCACTGAAAAAGCCCCCCCCCCCCTACATCCTTCAGACAATAGTACTTTTTACTTCAAGTATTTTTTAAATTAAGGATACTTTGTACTTTTGTACTTTTTACTTAAGTACGTTTTGTCTCCAGTACTTTTTTCTCTTATTCAAGTTGTTTTATTGTTAATAACTTCTACTTTTACTCGAGTACAAATTCAAAGTAATTTAGAAACTGTTTTTTCCACCCCTGGATCTCACATCTGGCGTGCTACCCACATACCCAAAGATTTTTTGCAACTCTGTGAAAACATTTTTATTGTTTTACAGGTTACGTTGGAGGATCTCATTTTCAAATCAGAGGTGGGGCTTCTAATTATGTGTGTTTGACACGTGACCCCATCTATGAAAGATATAAATCGGGTCGAGGTTATAATTCCAGAATATATGGAGCTGAATACGAATCTTTTAAGTATGGTATATATCCCGACAGCGTGCACAACCATGATGTACCATGTGCCGTGTGTCACGTGACCAAACGCACTTCACAAATTATGATACCAGGTCGTAACGTGTGTCCCACGGGATGGACACGTGAATACAAAGGTTACCTGATGGCCGAAAGATATGATTACTATCGTACAACGTATACATGCATGGATGGAAATCCTGATAACTCAAGTGAAACCCATGCTAATAAAGACGGTGCTTTGTTTCATTTTGTTGAAGGAATTTGTAGTGGCTCTCTACCTTGTACGCCATATATTAATGGTCAAGAACTGACATGTGCAGTATGCACACTGTAAATATATCCTTAACAGATATCATCAGGCCATTTGTAGTGGCTCTCTACCTTGTACGCCATACATTAATGGTCAAGAGCTGACATGTGCAGTATGCACACTGTAAATATATCCTTAACAGATATCATCAGGCCTTAAAATTTCGGCAGAGAACCGTCTGACAAAATGTTCGATGACTTTGAATTTGGGTAGCACATATGTCTTGTGATGTCCGATGACTTTGAGTTCAGTTTGGCTTGGAAATAAGTAATGAATGCAGACACAAATTAATATCAGCACAATTTGGAAAAATCATTTGAATCTTGGCAATGAATTTCCGAACCCCACGATGAAAACCCCGCACTTGATTACACATTTCCAGTTCACTTTTATACATTACTCTGATTCTCCATTTAACATACGAGCCTCTAGTCCTGGACTAGGGTACATTTTGATTGACGTTGGACAAAGTTAAAGTTAGGTTGGACACCAATTCACTCGGGTTGGACAAACAATAAACCTCAGTTTCACTTAGGTCGGACAGAATGTCCGGTGGTTTCCTCTCTACATCGGACAATTTCACGAATGGGTCGCACAATGTCCGTGACCAATATTTTAAGGCTTGATCATTGAACACTTTTGTCATTTTAATTCTTTAACACTCAACGAAATAGATGCACTCTATATCTGTTGTATCTTCCTATTAATATTAAATACATGATTGTAGTATTAACTCTTCAAATAAATTTCATTGTTCATGATAATGTCTTGTTTGAAAGTAATTTGCTGGGCTTTTATAAAGGCAGTCAATCAATTGATGACAAACATGCCAATTAGTCAATCAATATCAATTGTCATACCAGACAATCGATGACCAATGAATGGTCATGAATGGACTGATTTCATTGGTAGGCATTAGACTTTTATTGATTTTTATCAGCTAACATGCGTCTGTGTTTCAACATACAGTAGCTGCGCATATGTGATGCAGAACAGTCACAGATGAAGCACAATATGGCTCACAATTAAAGCCACCTTGGTAAAAGGATACAAAGTTCTGCGTTTGTGCTTGTTTAATGCATTGTGCCCTAATGCACCCTACATTATTATTTTACTCTGTCTAATGCCAGATGATTTATACATGTCAACAGGAGCGCACTGGTACTCTATGGATTATTGGATTATTTAATCAGACTAGTTAACCCAGAGTGTCCCTATATGTTGTGTGTCGTTGTGATTTACTGTAATTTGTTCTGTTTTTCTGTAGCGGTATTTGCCGATAAATAGCTACAGAAAAACAGAACGCGTTAATTACAGAAAATCACAACAGACTACAGAAGCGGAACTGGGACACTTTTTGTATTTTCACCGCAAGTTGCATTGTACCCTAATGTGTCTACTTTGTTATTTTACTCTCTGTCTAATGCCAGACAATTTTACTGGTTAAAGGGAGACAGCTGATGCTCAATGGGTTTATGTGAGAATGGAAGAAATTCGTCTAAAAATTTATTTCAAATTATTATCTTGAATCCCAAATTTTTAAAATGTTCATAACACAGGTCTTCTGCTCTATGATGCTCTAGATTCCTACCTGGCTTTTAGCCAGAGGGGCGTCCAGGCATCCTGGGACGCCCCTAGAACAAAAAATGGACCAAGTATATTAATATATCTGAAACGAAATAGTTCAATTCTCATTGTTATTATACATTTGACATTTTCATCAATTTGATGGTGTACCTGGCTGAATGAAAATGTCGTAGTTAAGTAAAGAAGCATAGCGGGAACAAACTCACAAAGCCAAGTGTGTTTGAAAAATTTTGAACGAGCTTGGAACAGATACCGACATGAAGTAACGTAAACTTCAAAGGTTTTCCAGAGGAACGTTTTCTCGAACCCCCCCCCCCCCTTTACTGTAGATGTATTGTTGTACCAAAATTGGACGCCCTCTTTTAGGACCCTGGCTAAAAGCCTGATTCCTACCTGTTTTCCTGACAAAGATAACCCAAGATCACAAGCAATAATTGAAGCACGACCAGAGCCAATGATATCCAGTTAATACACACAGCAGAGTTCCCCAACATTTTGACAAAATCCCACCACCATCCCGCATTGTTAGCGTGGTTAAATACTGTGAGTTCATGTCTTATGATTGAACACAGACGTCTATATGCCTCGTCTGAGGATAGTCCAATTGAGCCTTCATTGTCAACCTATGAAAAATATTCTCTAATAAGTTGAAGTAAGTTGGGTGTGCCAATATCCTAACTTGCAGCTGAGAGTTAAGCTGAATTACGAAGGATGCAGCTCAACCTGATCGAGTCGAAGGCTCTGAGTCGTTAGAGCATTCAGTGACTCTTTTTGCAAGTCTAGAATGTCTTCAGTCCAAAACGAGACTCTAACCTTTCAGAGGTGAAAGGGATTTTCTCTGATTATTGAGCCACCAAAGCCACTAAAACCAATTCCTAAGGGAATACTGGTATTTTACATCTGTATTTTACAGCTGTATTTTACACCTGTATTTTACACCCAAATTTTACACCCAAATTTTACACCGAAATATTACACCTGTATTTTACACCTGTACTTTACACCCAAATTTTACACCTGTATTTTACACCCAAATTTTACACCCAAATTTTACACCTGTATTTTACACCCAAATTTTACACCCAAATTTTACACCTGTATTTTACACCTGTATTTTACACCGAAATATTACACCTGTATTTTACACCTATATTTTACACATGTATTTTACACCCAAATTTTACAATTAAATTTTACACCTAAATTTTACATCTACATTTACACCTAAATTATACACATAAATTTTACACCTACATTTTACACGTCAATTTTCAACCTCTATTTTCAACTTCAATTTAAAATAACTGAAATTGCATAAATAACCCTCAACGCACTGACTAAGTACAATAAATCACTACAAACATAAATCGTACACCCCCCGGAAAGTTTACACTATGACTGAATGAATGAATGGATGACTGATTCGTTTGAGTTTTCGACACTCATCACAATACTGTAAAACATTGCAATTCCAGAAGTTCAATCAGATGATTTAAAAAGGCATGCAGCTAAAATTTATTTCACCTACCAAAAAATTTTAGACTGGCAAGCCATATTTCATTCTCTAGGCGAAAAAAAAATACCTGTGGTTCCGGTTCCTGACCGACCCTATTTTTTTCTGCCAACCCTATTATTTTTTCAACGCGATTGACCGTGCGACCCTATTTTCTCCGGGTGGTTGCGGGCTGCTGCCAAAATGGCGTCTGTTGTCACACTAATTATTGAAAAAACAATGGAAAAAAAATATATTAATTAAAAAAAAAAAATTATTTCCGACCTACCGACCCTAATTTTTTTGCAATATGAAACCGGAACCACAGGTATTTTTTTTACACCCTACTTCTAGCCCTGTCTGAGGGAACATACAGAGCACCACAATTGCCACAATTTTTTCAAATAAAAGAATTCATGGGAAAGTGCTGTTTTACAATGGAACAGGCACTTTTTTAACTTGTCATTGCATCATACATCTTTGCTTAATTACTAATTATTTTATATACAGAACCTCATTTTTCCTTATCTGAACATCTTCCAGTTCGATTCCCTCATCATCTCCAAACTGTAAATTACATTATAACAAACGATAATTAGATGAGGCCCAGCATCTATAGGTGCCTAAAGGCTTAGACTATAGGGAATTGGAACATTTCCTATAGGAACCTATAGGCCACCTATAGACTTTTTTCGTCAGGGTATAACATCTTTATCCACAATAATTGTGGTATAAACTTGAGACAATTGCCTGTTATCACAATTAAGGTATTTGCCAAAAATGGATGGCAGAATGGAGCTAGTCATGGTCAATTTATGAGACAACCTTACATAGTAATAATGCACTTCATTTTTTCCTAGCTTTATAACTCATTTTTGCGATTACAGTAATTGGGCAAGGCAGGGTGCCAGGGGTAGTGATGGTCGATTACCGATTACTTGGTATCAACACCACCCGGTACCAGGCCCAAATCACAATTAGTCGATACTGCACAGTATCGAAAAAGTGTTTTGATTACTTTTAAAATTAGACATTCAATATAATTCGGTAGTTGTGTCATCGTTTTCATGGCTATTTCTAATAACATTTATGTCCTTTTTTGTATTTTGCTGCATTTACCAATTTAATCAAACTTCCTTTACTGTATTTGACATTCTATCCACTTCCCTGATTAATGGGTCATTCCAGAAAAGATCCATACTCCCCCCACGGAGGAAATTTCTGCTGTCCGGAGGGGGAGGGGAGAAAAAATGTTTCTGATAATAGTAAATGTATTAGGACATCCGAAGGGGGTAGGGGGGTTAACTTCCTATTTCCTCTGCGGGGGTGGTATGGATGTTTTCTGGAATGACCCAATATTCCTGACCTCGTCTACAGAATAAATTATGAAAAAGGAGGGAAATAACTTATGGCGGAAAATTCTGAAATACAATCGTCGTCATAGTAATCGTTTGGGTAATCGATACCTCGATACTTTTATGAAAAAGTAATCGGTATCGTATCAAATCGATACTGGTGGTATCACCCATCACTAGCCAGGGGCCAACTGAATGGTTAGCACTATTTTCCATCCAGCAAACTGCCCTACCAATTTTCTAAAGTCGTTTCTTTTTGGATTTGTTTATTAATTTGGTTAGGGTTAGGTTTGCTGGATGGAAAATAGTGCTAACCCAACTTTGAACTGACTGGTGCATATTTGCACTGTAATGTCAAAACGTTATTGGAAAACATCTTAATTTTAAAATGAGTATTGGATATAAAAGCTACAAGTCTCCATGCATGGTCTGACTACACTACCAGAGAATATAGAACATGTCTTTTATATGAATATTGATCTCTAGCTCATAAAGTCAAATTTCCCTCATTCCTTGCACAAAAAATTATAACAATTTTCATACTTACAGCGTTTGTTCTACTTCCAGAATTACCAAAATCACCAACCAGTGGACTTCTCTGTGACTTTGAAGACATTTACCTCATGTAGAGGCAACAGAAGGCAAAAATATTTATCTTTTTCCAAACATTTTTTGAATTTGGCCTTAAATTTTGCCGGCCATATTGGAACTTGAGAACTCCTTATCAAGACCTCTAAGTTTCCTTAATTTTCCCCAAAATTCCGTGAAATAAAAATATTTAAAATTATGGAGAATTCCGTTTTTTAAGGATACATCCTTGAAAGTGAGAGATCCTGTTTGTCCGTGTGTCAACACGAGAGGTCTGAGTCGAGAAGACACGTCTATAACAAAATTATGGCCATGGTATGTTTAAATTTGATCTTGTGTTTTGATCTTTGGTTTTTCGCGTGTTTTTAGGGTTCTAATTTGTTTTATGTGTTGTTATATGTGTGTTAGATGTCCGATGATGCGACTGAAGATGTCGCATTAACGTTTGGGGAAGATGATTTAGATCCCAAGAGGCGAAGACTTAGGTTTGTACATAATAGGTGGTAGTTGTTATTAATTTAATAGTCCATGGGTGTACCCACTGGTAGTATGGGTGGAGGGGGGCTGGCACAGTTGTTAATGCATGTCCCTGTCAGTTCTGCATTGAGATTTGAGTCTTGCAATGTGCAGTTGGATAATGGATTGTAATTTTGCCAAAGAGGTTTGGAACTGAGATCTGGTACCCCTATTGTGCATTGCAAGAAATTGAATCCCAGCAACAACAGTGATACTGCATATGCAGGGCCACTTAAAGGGTGGGGCACTTTGTCCCGGGGCCCCCAGCTCAAAAGGGAATATAAATCCTAGCTGCATTAGTGCTGAACAAAATGCAGTAAAGTGTAATATATTGTAAAGCACTGCTTCTCCGGTTTTACAATTATGACCCCCTACACGGCCCCCTGGTAAGTTTTTCCACATAATTCGACTTACGTATATTTCTTCTAGACATCCAGTCACAGTGGTGTTCCATCTTACGTTCAGAATCCTCGCCATTGTTGTTTACTTGTTGTGTGGTTGGTTTAGTAACAGTTTTGTGACAAGTTTTGTCGTAATTGTTGTTCTGTTGTCCATCGACTTCTGGACGGTAAAGAACATCTCTGGAAGATTACTGGTTGGCCTCAGATGGTGGAATTACGTAGATGAAGATGGTGAAAGTCACTGGGTCTTTGAATCACACAAGGTTAAAACCTCCTGTCCAGTTCTTTTGAAAGACAGCTACCTGCACAATCTCCCAACCAAAAAAACTTACATCAACTCTTTAGGGCAAATATAGTAGTAAAGCAATAAATAAATAGCCCTTGGAAAATCTACAACGACCCCTGCCAGATAAGCTAGGAACACCAGGCACGGATTTTCTGGGGGTGCACCCCCCCCAGAAATGATTTGCACATCCCCCCCCCCTCCAAGAGGCATTTGGCACCGCCCCCAAAAGTTTTTGCACCCCCGCAAATTATATATATATTGATTTGATAGTTTCATACTTGATTATTCTTACTACTAAATTTGTAAAATTACCAATATTATGGTCTCAGATCTCACCATGCAGGCCTAGAAAACAAATTTTGTTAAACATTTTCCTTGGCCTTTCCGGGTGCCCCGGCCAAAGCAAGCAGCAGCACCCCACCCCCCAGATATTTATCCACCACCCCCCGAACGAAAATATGAAAATCCGTCTCTGAGGAACACACCCCTGTTTAACCCATTAAACAGGGTTTTTTATATGGCCCCAAAAGCGCAAAACTTGAATTGAGTTTTGAAACTCAATCGTCAAAAGTTTCAGTGCAATAAAAATGAAGTTTGAGTTAAAATTGTGATTTGGAAATAATTTTTCCTGTCAGAAACACAACAAAGTAGGAAAAACCGAACATACCGCCTACAGTTCGAGCTGTTCTAAAACCATGCATGTAAGGGCTGAATTGTGAAACGTCCGGGGCCTTCATTCCTGGACACCCAAGTTCCACCCTGCCCTCCCCATCAGCTGGTGGGGGGGGGGGGGCAGCCACCCCAGTTCCCAAACTGATTTGGTAAACTCGATCGTCTGTAAAAATGGACCTAGCAAAAAATTCCAGAAAAAAATCCTATTAGTGTGGAAGACTCTCCCCTTGATTAGTAAAATCTATCCCATACACAAGGAAAGCAGAGTCCTGGTACACTCACCCTTCTCATATACAACTGTGGTGAAATTATACAACTATGTGTTCATATTTTATTTGCTTAGAATAAGAATGTATCTGCATTAGAATCTCGAGTATTCTGGCTTGGTTTAGTCATCACTCCGATCATATGGATATTTTTATTGATTACGTCATTAATCTCTTTGAAATTTCAGTGGATGGTAAGTAGAAAGAAGTCGTGGCGCTTGGAACGTTGCAATGTGTGGTGCCACTTACCTAGCAACCTGGGCTGCGGTCAGGCTTTTAGATCTGTCAGTATACCAAAATTGGACGCCCTCTTTCAGAATCCTGACTAAAAGCCTGGCAACAGTGCAAACCTATTATTTGCAAAAGTTAGCTGATCAGATGAGAGTTGAGAAAACTCTCATGCAAACTCTCGCTTCTCAACTCTCATTAACTCTCATGCAACTCTTGTTCTCATTTGACCGGGACATGAGAGTTGAGAAAACTCTCGTGCAAACTCTCGCTTCTCAACTCTCATTAACTCTCATGCAACTCTTGTTCTCGTTTGACCGGGGCATGAGAGTTGAGAAAACTCTCGTGCAAACTCTCGCTTCTCAACTCTCATTAACTCTCATGCAACTCTTGTTCTCGTTTGACCGGGACATGAGAGTTGAGAAAACTCTCATGCAAACTCTCGCTTCTCAACTCTCATTAACTCTCATGCAACTCTTGTTCTCGTTTGACCGGGGCATGAGAGTTGAGAAAACTCTCGTGCAAACTCTCGCTTCTCAACTCTCATTAACTCTCATGCAACTCTTGTTCTCGTTTGACCGGGACATGAGAGTTGAGAAAACTCTCATGCAAACTCTCGCTTCTCAACTCTCATTAACTCTCATGCAACTCTTGTTCTCGTTTGACCGGGGCATGAGAGTTGAGAAAACTCTCGTGCAAACTCTCGCTTCTCAACTCTCATTAACTCTCATGCAACTCTTGTTCTCGTTTGACCGGGACATGAGAGTTGAGAAAACTCTCATGCAAACTCTCGCTTCTCAACTCTCATTAACTCTCATGCAACTCTTGTTCTCGTTTGACCGGGGCATGAGAGTTGAGAAAACTCTCGTGCAAACTCTCGCTTCTCAACTCTCATGCAACTCTTGTTCTCGTTTGACCGGGACATGAGAGTTGAGAAAACTCTCATGCAAACTCTTGCTTCTCAACTCTCATCAACTCTCATGCAACTCTTGTTCTCGTTTGACCGGGGCATGAGAGTTGAGAAAACTCTCATGCAAACTCTCGTTTCTCAACTCTCATGCAAACTCTCGCTTCTCAACTCTCATCCTCGTTAATTGACCAAAGCTTTACTTGTGTTTCAGATCATTGTAATCGTGGCGCTAAGTTTAAATTCCGCGAATCTCTTCGGCTACATAAAGTGCAAGAAAGATGCGTCAAAGAAATTAAAAAGCATGGCTGGAAACTTCCTGGGACAGCAACTGTTAAAACAGGTAAAGATACTGTAGTACGGAGTAGGATGATAATGGAAGGATTTTTGTAGATTGAAATTTCTAGCTTGTACATAATCTTGAGCCTCTACCATTGAAATGCCTCTACTGAGTTTTCAATTCTTTTAGGCAATGGCTTCAACCGAAGAAAATCAACAATAAGCAAAGAATGAAATACTGTTCTGTACTGACACATTAATCAATGAGATCCGATATTGCATGGCCAAGTTGCCTGGTGATGTGTGAAAGAAACCGAGTGTTTATGTCAAAATCACACACAAAAAGTGTGCACAATGTATTTAAGAATAGCTATTTCTTAATTTCTTTATTTATATGGAATACCAGTGATTCAACGTGAAATATGAACGGTAAAATTAGCCCATTTCTTCACAGAGGTCACCAGTGGGCTACATATAACCAAGGTGGAAAAAAGCGAAGCCAATATGTGGTTAATAGACAGTTTAGCAAGCACACTGAATCTCATGTACAGTACGACTATAAATTACACTATACCAGATAGCATTGCTCTGTATTGAATCATTTTTTGTGTATCTTACATCGTCTCTTTGCTTTGCAAAAACAAAACTGAACATAACACGTTGTTTATACCCAACTGCAAACTCTCTAAAATCAACTTCACTATAATGTACCTTTCGGCTGCGTTTACAACGTGAACCTGATAACTTTCCGTAGCGACGTGAAAAAACACGTATCCGTACCTTTTAGGAACGCTATTTTCAGAGGAATTATTGCAACGGAGAGATGTTGTTTCGCTCAGCTTCTGAAAGTTGTACATTCCGTATCGGATAGGCGCTTTTTCGCGCCGCTACGGAAAGTTATCCGATATACTAGTGGAAACGTAGCCTTATGTCCTGTTATCATCTGTGTGTCCCGAAACCAAGAAGTCGTCAAGTCGCCATTTCCACTCAAGAAAAATTTCCACGGACAGAAAATTTTCCGAAAATATCATTGTTAAAAGTTGAAAATTTTCAACTTCAAAATTTTTTTCCGACTGAAAATTTGTGTCGGCCAATATCACAATATACAAAATTTTCTCTCTGCGGAAAATTTTCTTGGAAATGGGCCTTTATATGCAACTGCATATCTCAAACGTGGTGGTCCAGTATAGTTAGTATTATACAATAAGCTGCCGTGGTTTGTGTCCGAACTAGTTGTAGTTAAAACGCACAAGTTGTAACAAACCTGCAGCAGACTTGTAGCAATATGCTGGTCCAACAACTTGTCAACAAGATGTATTCGCAACTTGCTACAAGGTTGTTGAGCTCAACAGACTTGTTACAACTTGTTATCGTCCTGCAATTCACCAATTTGTCAACGACTTGCGAGTGACAATATTGTAGCAACTTGATGAAATAACAACACTGTTGCAACTTGTTGACAAGCTTGTTGCGAGATTTTTCCGTGTGTAGTTGTAGTTGGTTAATGCTGGTCCAACAACTTGTCAACAAGATGTATTCGCACAGCTTGTTGACACAACCTTGCTACAAGGTTGCTGAGCTCAACAGACTTGTTACAAAGTTGTTCCAACAACTTGTTATCGTCCTGCAATTCATCAATTTGTCAACAAATTGTGAGTGACAACCTTGTAGCAACTTAATAAAATGATAGCATTGCCACAACTTGTTGACAAGGTTGCTACAAGCCTGTTACGAACACATCTTGTCGACAAGTTGCGAGATTTTTACGTCGGTGCGCCACTACGAATTTTGATATTATTAAAGTTATGAATTTTGTTCAGAGGCACTATCAGTGAGCCATGACACAAACCACGGCAGCTTATTGTAGAACACTAGCTATACTGGTCTACCACGTTTGGAGTGCAACCCGACTTACATATAACGCATAGCCATAGAACCGTCTTCAACCATCTATATGCAAGCATCGCTAAAAAGGCTGCCATTTTCCTAAGATAGTGTCTTTAATAGCATCTACGTACTGCGCGGGTACCCAATACACCCAATACCGTGACGCTTCCGTAGGACCAAGTTGGATCGCCTAAATAAACAATTCAGAAAATTAACATGTGATAGTGACGTCACCCGGACTCATTTCATGCAATACTGCATGTTGTCCGATTCTCTTCAGCCACGTGTGAGAAGCGTGCCATTGTCATTTCTGGACCTCTAGGGAGAACAGTTTAGAACTGATAGAGCTATCCATTATAAATAAAGTTAGTTTAGTTTAGTTTAGGTTTCCTCCTGTAGTAACACTGGATCAATAAGAGATGACTCTTACTGGACCTCTAGGGAGAACAGTTTAGAACTGATAGAGCTATCCATTATAAATAAAGTTAGTTTAGTTTAGTTTAGGTTTCCTCCTGTAGTAACACTGGATCAATAAGAGATGACTCTTACTGGACCTCTAGGGAGAACAGTTTAGAACTGATAGAGCTATCCAGTATAAATAAAGTTAGTTTAGTTTAGGTTTCCTCCTGTAGTAACACTGGATCAATAAGAGATGACTCTTACTGGACCTCTAGGGAGAACAGTTTAGAACTGATAGAGCTATCCAGTATAAATAAAGTTAGTTTAGTTTAGGTTTCCTCCTGTGGTAACACTGGATCAATAAGAGAGATGATCCTTACTGGACCTCTAGGGCGTAACAGTTTAGATCCAATCACATATACCCTAGTGTAACTACAGTTTAAAACTAATCCATTATATAAGTTAGTTTCATGTAGGTTTCCAGCAACCATAAGAGACCGAAACAAGTTCAGGGAACTTACCAACACGTGATAATCGTCGTTGTCTTCTATTGGTTCAGATAAAACATTCTTTATAGAACCCATGGAAACCTTTTCTGTTCGTTCTGTCAAGACGAAATGAAAACGAATATGACACCATTTATATACACTGAAAAAATAACGAAATCCATACTATGAAATTTGCGATTGCATCACTACATCCATAGTATATCCATACTATTTCCATACTACAGTTTCCAAAAATTTACCTTTCGTTCCAATCCATAGTTGATCGAGTTCTAATTTAAATGTTAATCTGACCTTTCCTGCAGCTTTATTTAACATCCCTGAGATCGGTTGTCGTGGTAACGGCTCCTTTGGAATATGAAATTAATGGCATACTTAAAAAGCTCATTAATAATTTATGAGGAAAAGACAAATGAAATTACTGTCGTGTCAGTGGTTTTATATGTGATCAAAAATCAAGGTCATTTACATAAACTTTAGCTTTGATGTTCTCGGCTTGGACAACGTTGATTTTTAAAATTTCTTCGTCAAATTTCTTCATCAGATGGTTTGTTTTTTAAGCCATTGAAAACACTCGCAGTTCATGCTTGATCAGATATAAGACACCATACCGGTATATATTTAGTTTTTTTGCAGGTAGCCAAAAACATTTTCAGTTACCCTGCGTGGTTCAAACTTTCCCGGTTTTCATTGAAGCTTGCAGGTGGCGAAAGGGGACCAGGCACCGAAGAAACGGAGTTCTGTCTTTTGAAAAAGGAGTTCTGGCATTTGAAAACGAAGTTTTGGCTTGTGAAAACGAAGTTTTTTCTTTTGAAAACTGAGTTCTGGCATTTGAAAACAGAGCTCGCATTTGAAAACGGAATTCTGGCATTTGAAAAAGGAGTTCTCGCTTTTGAAAAGGGAGTTCTGGCATTTGAAAACGGAATTCTGGCATTTGAAAAAGGAGTTCTGGCATTTGAAAACAGAGCTCTGGCATTTGAAAACGGAATTCTGGCATTTGAAAAAGGAGTTCTGGCATTTGAAAAGGGAGTTCTGGCATAATTTGAAAACGGAATTCTGGCATTTGAAAACGGAGTTCTGGCATTTGTATATCAGATACAGATCGGCTGCTCATGTTTTATCTAGTACTTAAAATCTTGGTCAATCAAACGAGCCTCGATCCCGGCCCTGATCGACTCCGGTGGTTTCATTTCAGGAATATTGAGATACCTTTTTCGTCTTATCTCCAGGCATAGCGTCATCTGGTTTGCCTTTGTCTAGAATTTTTTTATGCATCTGAAATACGAAGCAACAGAAGTATATACAATGTAGTCCAGTTTAAAGCCTTGAAGTCAACTTAAAACTTTTACATTTCACATCAATCATTGTAGTTATTGTACCTTTTGTTTCGACCAAGGCTCTTTCGTTGAAGCTAATGGCAAAAAAATATAGACATGTCATTATTATGAACAAGCTTTCGTTGGTAGAGATGCAACTACCTGAAAAATATATTAAGGAAAATTTCATACTTGACTCCCGAAATTCTCCTTATATTTTTCAGGTAGTTGTACCCCTACCAACCAAAGCTTGTTCATTTGATTGCCACTACCTACATTGGCAAAGACAGCTTATTGTAGAATACTACCTACACTGAACCACCACGTTTGAGATATCTTTTTCAGGTAGTTCAGACACAAACCACTTCAGCTTATTGTAGAATACTACCTACACTGAACCACCACGTTTGAGATATCTTTTTCAGGTAGTTCAGACACAAACCACTTCAGCTTATTGTAGAATACTACCTACACTGAACCACCACGTTTGAGATATCTTTTTCAGGTAGTTCAGACACAAACCACTTCAGCTTATTGTAGAATACTACCTACACTGAACCACCACGTTTGAGATATCTTTTTCAGGTAGTTCAGACACAAACCACTTCAGCTTATTGTAGAATACTACCTACACTGAACCACCACGTTTGAGATATCTTTTTCAGGTAGTTCAGACACAAACCACTTCAGCTTATTGTAGAATACTACCTACACTGAACCACCACGTTTGAGATATCTTTTTCAGGTAGTTCAGACACAAACCACTTCAGCTTATTGTAGAATACTACCTACACTGAACCACCACGTTTGAGATATCTTTTTCAGGTAGTTCAGACACAAACCACTTCAGCTTATTGTAGAATACTACCTACACTGAACCACCACGTTTGAGATATCTTTTTCAGGTAGTTCAGACACAAACCACTTCAGCTTATTGTAGAATACTACCTACACTGAACCACCTCGTTTCAACGTTTGAGATGAATTTTTCAGCTAGTTCAGACACAAACCACGACAGCTTATTGTAGAATACTATATACACTGAACCACCACGTTTGAGATATATTTTTCAGGCAGTTCACACAAACTACGGCAGCTTATTGTAGAATACTACCTACACTGGACCACCATGTTTGAGATATCGTTTTAGGTACGGTAGTTCAGACACAAAGCACGGCAGCTTATTCCAGAATACTACCTACATTAGACCACAACATTTGAGATATCTTTTTCAGACACAAACCATGATGGCTTATGTTTGAATATTACGTGGTACCTAAACTGTTTTTATACCTGTGGCTGTGGTTTCTTCTTTGAGAGCTTTCGCACTTGGTGGAATGTTCACCGCCATGATGTCCTTTACAGTTGAGCCAATCACCATCATTTTAGAATGGTTTGTAACTTTCAAATCACTTAAAGTCTTTGTGTCATCTTTAACTAAACCTGTGAAGAATTACCGAATATAGTCTAACAAAACTGTAAGGACTGTCTTGACATGACATGTTTTTAAAACACGTACAACACACACAAAAAAACTTGTCAAGGAAAACTTGTTGACCGCACACACAAGGTACAAAATTTGTCATGGAAAACTTCTTGACTGTACACGCAAGAAGGTATAAACTTGTCAAGGAAAACTTGTCGACCGCACACACAAGAAGGTACAAAATTTGTCAAGGAAAACTTGTTGACTGTGCACACAAGAAGGTATAAACTTGTCAAGGAAAACTTGTTGACCGCACACACAAGGTACAAAATTTGTCATGGAAAACTTCTTGACTGTACACGTAAGAAGGTATAAACTTGTCAAGGAAAACTTGTCAACCGCACACACAAGAAGGTACAAAATTTGTCAAGGAAAACTTGTTGACTGTACACACAAGGTATAAACTTGTCAAGAAAACTTGCTCGTCTGTATATGGGACAATGCAGGGCTTAAAAAATAAATCGGGAATGCCGTACGAGGTTGTACGTATAAAAATGCATTTGAAATGCTGGATTTAAATGACATAAACAAAGATGGCTGTCTGGGGTTCGAGCAGTGAACTCGATGTTTCTAGATCAATGTTTCATCTTTGATTGTTATAAATATATGGATATTCCATATATGGATTTTAAAGCAAACAGAAAGGGGTAACAGTTCAGCTCTGATGTAGGAAGTGTATGCGATCGTACTTGTCTGAAATTCTTGGCATACCATACGCCAAGGTAATTTCAGTGTACAGTTGTACGTCCGAATGCCTATTTTTTAAGTGCTGGGGACTTGAGAATCTTACCTTTGAACATCAACTTTTGCGTCGAGACTGGTAAACCTAGTGGCCAGAATAATATAATTTGACAAATTCATGTGCATTAATTCATTCACTACATTTCATTTTGATAAAATATGAAAAAAGTTGCGTTATCATCACCTGTTAACGTCTCGATGTGTTTCTTCAAGTTTTCTACAGTGTCATTAGCATTGAATGTGACATCATAGTTCTTTTTGTTCCACACGACACGAAAACTGATCATATTTTCAGGACATGTTGTTTCAGAATTTTCTTGAGAACATTCTCCTGCCGTTTCTTCCTCCGTAGAACATTTGGTCTCTAAAGCATTACACATAGGATGTCTCAAATTGGAGACTTCGGCACCCTTTATTAGATTGGGATCAGGGGCGGTTCTGGCCTCATTTGTTAAAGGGGGAGGTTTTCCAGAAGGGGGTGCATTACGACAGGGAATTCTCACCTAGAAAATTGTTGAAATTTGAAGCCCTGAAAGACATTTCCTGCATTCTGAGAACTACATTTATAGTATTTTGTGCTCATGGCACTTGTATTTCAGAAAAATGCTACGTTATATAGTCTTGTATATATCCCATAGATATTTGACTGTGCAAAAGACAAACCAAATGATACCTTCTTCATTTCTGCATGGTCGGATATCCTCACTTGACTTCTTTATATCTGCTGAATTTAGATCTTCATTTATTAGTTCTGTAACTTCTGAAAATGAAATTGATATGTTTGGTTGAACATATGCCGACAGTGCATATTGTAAGCATCAAGATTTTCTTGGCACTCACACATTTTGATGGCATCTCAACAACTGGCCTCTGTAGCTCAGTTGGTTAGAGCGCTGCACCGGAACCGCAGGGCTTTACTAATCTAACCATTAAACAAGTTAGGAGCCATGACTACGTTCTATCTTTGCAAATTTTGAGAGAGGTTTAAATGATCAGTAATTTAGTATCAAAACGGACAGATCGAGAATTTGAAACTTCGATAGATTCTTTAATTACATTCAAACTGGATGTTCTCAAACTTTACTCATCTGAATACCCAATGCAACTGCAAATGGCTGTATTGGTATGGTCCTATCATTTGTAAAATATTAGCTTTCCTAATATGTCAAACAGTATTTAACAATTGGGCCAAGATGGTATGGGCCGAGTTGGTCATGTGGACTGAGTCACAGGTGATAGATTATACCAGATGAATCACTGTGTATCTATCCCTATGATTTTCGTGTCCACGATTTTCGCGAGGCTATCACGCCAGATGACGTTTGCGACACTTACTGCCAAAATGGCGCTTACTGCCAAAATGTGTGATTGCTCATGTTTCATGGCGTGGATTACACTTACTGCCAAAATGGCGGCCAACGCGTGCTCATAAAAAATCGCCGACACAATTTTGGCTGAGTGATTCATCTGGTATTATCTATCATTTGTGACCGAGTTGACCAGCTTCCGCTGCAGGTTCAATTCCTGACAGGGACCTGTAGTTGCATTTTTTCGCAGCTGTACTGGTTAGAACTTATAAATGTATATAAATTTCCATTCGATAATTTCAATCTACAAGACCCTTACTGTAAAGAGTGTATGAGTGTATGACTATACTTTAAAAAATTGCATGGCATGCAGTATAATAATAATGAGCCCTATAAATAATAATGTATATTTCCACAAATATGGTGCGGGATTCTAGCTCTACGCTAAGGAGTAAGCTAGCTAGCATTGCCTGGCCCAGCCTAGCTTGTATACGTATAGTCTTTCCCTCTCGCATTACCTACATACCTTTCATACTTTCATTATGTTCTGGTTCGTCACTACAAGGCTGCCCCTGTTCCATCGTCTCAGTACAGCTTTCTCCTCCACCTTAAGCGAATAAAAACATTTGCACATGAAAGTACACTACTTTCTTCATATTATAACGCGTATAAATTAAAATTTATGAAAAGAAAAATATTTTTTTCGATTTTTTTCCGAAAACACTTACGCTGTGAATTATCATCCGCCATCTTGCCTGACTCCACCCCAGGCTTCGGCGTTCGAGCATTTGCGCCATTTGCGCGGACGTTTCCCTTGGATTCTTGGAAATCTTTGCTCGATACAGTACATTATTTCCAGGAAATTGGCTATAATCACTGCTTCAATCAATGGTTAAAACTGATTGATCAGCAGATTGATTGCATTCTATTAAGAATAGATGAACCAATTAATAGTTTTCAAGTGATCATTGATTCATCAAAACAGTAAACCAGTCGATCTATTAGTAATTATTAGTCAGTAAATAAATTAATGGAATTGAGTAGATCAATCAATCGATTGTCGTCAATCGATTGTTGATCCAGTTAACGTTTAATCAATCTATCTAATAATCGATGAATTAATCAACCAATATTGTTCAAAAAGTCAATCGATTGACAATTATGTAATCAGTCATTAAATTGATGGTGTAGCAATCGATTAATCAATACGTTTTTCAATCCAGTAACCATCCAATCAATCTGTTGATGATAGATTCACAGCTGTACAATAAATAATCAGAAATTCAGAATATGCCCGCCCCAATGACCTGCACATGACCGGAAATAGATTTATTTTATTGTCATGGAATTATCGGCGAATCGTTTATCTTGGACTTTCTTCATATTTTTATGTTTTTTTACTCAATGACTAAGTATTTTTATTGGAATATTCCGTACGACAGATTTTTAATTCTACAAGACTCGCTTAGCGATAGAAAATTGGAAATGCGAAGTATATTTTTATAAATATATAAACAACGAATTTTAACAAATATGGCAGAATTGCCGATCGTAGAGAAGCAGCGAGCTACAAGGTACTTTTTATATTTATAGAAATTAAACATTGATTTTGATACTTAGGGAATTATAAAATACATATTAATTCAACTCCCATGGGTATTTATATAAGACTAACAATTTTAATATGATTTTGTTAATAGATCTCGCATGACCAGTCGTTGAAATTTGTAAAACCTGTTTGAATTCTGGTTTTGTCCTGTTGAAACGAGTTAAAAGCTGCATATTTTGCGCGATACTTTATGAAATATAGAGCTATGTGTATTCTACTAATGCTAGTAAATTCTGCGCCGTAGGCGCCTGGCAGTTTTGCGTTATATTGTGTTATAAAATGGAATATTTTGTCAATATATTTTATTATTTTCTCATATATATGTATATAGCAGCCATTGTTCAATACTCAATACAGTCCATATAGTATACATAATGTGGTTTCAACCAGTATTAAATTGCATGTCATTGTCATTGTCAACTTAGACATGTTGACACTCAGAAAGGAGCAGAAAAATTAACTACTTCTTTGCCAGGGTGCGTTCCATGTAATCTCTATGCTGAAGATACGCCAATATTAACTATAGATAGTATTGTAATTTGCCAAACTCACACCAAAGATCTTTGGCGTATTGCACTTAAAATGCACCCTGGCTTATTTGTTACCTATTACAAGTTTACTACATGAATCGAACTTTGATTATTTTCTATATTTACTATAGTGAACCGAACTTTGATTATTTTCTTGTTCTGTCACTTGATCACTACTGAACAGTTCAACATTGGTTCATTCCAGCTGCACACCCTTCCACACAAAGAAATTGGAGGTTATCTTCTCTCCCCCTTCGGACTAGACTTGCTCCAAGTCTCTTTCATGGTCTTTCTGTATCGATCCACTGTAGTGTACATAGTGGATCGATGCATTTTACTATTACCAGAAGTCAATTTTACATGCATGTAGCCCTCCTTTTCGTCTGTGTGACATTAGTTAAAGCCTATAATCTGTCAGTCATGAAAGCGATCGGCTCTGTGACACACTTTCTGGAAGAGTGTATTGTGTGAGTCAAAAGGTCTGGCACTAGTATGTAATTCTTACATAATTTGTTCCATTTGTAGACATTCAATTTGGAACAAGCTTTCGGATTTTGCAAATGTTTTCAAAGCATTTATTGGGTGTAACTATTTGTCTGTACCATTTGCTTTCAAACAAAGTGGATTCTTGGTAAATATACACTGGTCTGATTTCAACATTTCTGACAAATAACAATATATTGACCAATCCAGGAGTTATGTAATTGGGCATGGCTTTGAAAAGATGGGTGTGGCAGGAGCATTGAAGTGATGTTCAGCAATAACTCACTGAAATCATTTTTTCTCGCTGTAATGCATCTTCTTCTAACATGAAACAATTTTACTCACCAATGTGAGAGTGCTAGACATTAACCCTTTAGTTGAGGCCCACCAGAATGCAACCCAGGTCGCTTGTCACTCATTTTGTAACTTCTTTGTCGCTTGCTTTATTGTAACAAATGTCAATTTTACTTATCAAGGGGAGAGCGCTGGCGCTTAATGGGTTAACTAGCCTATCTGCCCATGTGTCTAGTTAACCCATTGAGTCGCATTGCGCCCTACTTCTTTGTTTTACTCTGTCTAACGGCAGACAATTTTACTTGTCAAGGGGAGAGCACTGGCACTTAATGGGTTAAGGAATGTCGCCTGTCGGTCATAACCCCTAGGTGGCCTTGATGTGCCCTTTATTATTTTACTCTGTCTAACGGCAAACAATTTTACTCAATCTAATCAAGGGGAGAGTGCTGACTATGTGCTGGCACTCAATGGATTGATTGGTTACAAAGCACACCTATGAGAACTGTCCACAACAGTCTCCACATAGCAGTTCTGTCAATCATTTCTGTTTCTCTTACATTGCAGCTTGGCATCATCGGCCTGATCATCATTGCCTACATCACGGACCATTGTTGCGTCCTGATTGTAAAATGCAAGAAAGCCGCAATTGATCAAATCATGAACTCAACCTACTACTGCCCGTATGACGGGGAGAGCGAAGAATACCGCAAGGTGGAAAAACAAAAAATGAAACAAAGACGGAATTTGGAATTGGCCATAACTTACGGCGACTTGGGTCGCATAGTCCTGGGCCAATGGGGTAGCCTTATTGTTAACGCAGCCTTGATTATTACCCAGTTTAGTTTCTGTGTTAATTATTTCATATTTATGGGTGATACAATTACCAGAATGTTTCCATTAGCAGACAAGAATAAGACTCACACACCAACCCCAGTTCCAAATTCAACTGCATTGCTAGGGGAGTCGGCTTCTGACAAGCATCCGGGCGCACCCAATGTGATATTTCTGATGTTAATACCATTCCCATTTTTCTTGTTACAAACTTACGTTCGCAAAGTACGAAGCCTCGGACCGCTGAGTGCGATTGCAAACGCATGTGTATTTCTGGGATTTTTTTCTATTCTTGGATTTATCCTAAAAGGTAGTGTATATTCCAGTTACTCTTTTAAAACACATAAAAACTTCTTTTTTTTTTAAAAACTTTTTCCACACATATTATATGTTACCGGTTGGGAGAACCTCAATCTTTGAGATTACAAAATGTTGGTCTCAAACTCATTAATAATTCATGAGATTGAGTAGATTAGCCAACCATATTGCTTTAATTTGCTCACATGGTAATACTGGATACCTGGTGAAGCATATTGATTCAGTCCCCTCACTTTAAGGGGCCGATTATATGGAGAACTTTCAACCCCGGGGTTGAACTCAGCCCTGTTAACCAGGTTGAAATTTTTTGCGATTACATGGACGATTTCAACCCCGGGGTTGAAACGCTATACTATACGTTCTCGGCATCGATTCCCGGAAGTAAAAAAGCCTTTATTTTGTTTTCTTGTAATAAATAGTCACTACCACGTATGCTCGAATAACTCATGATAATTTCAGCCCTGGGTTGAAACGGTTACATGACTGAAGCAGGGTTGAAATTTCAACCCCGGGGTTGAACTCAGCCCTGGGTTGAAAATTTTGTCATGTAATCGTGCGTTTGATTTTGATAGAGTTTTGTATTACAGACAGAGCTGAAATTTCAACCCGGTAAACAGGGCTGAGTTCAACCCCGGGGTTGAAAATGCTCCATGTAATGGGCCCCTAAGTAGTGATTTATTCGTATGAGCTAGATGTCATTTCAAATCCTCCAATTCGGATTGGCCTAGATTTCAAGTAAAATGTGCGGACTTGAAATCTAGTAAAAGTTGCGCGGATTTGAAATCTAGTCTAGTCCTCATACTCATAGTCGGATTTCATTGAAGTATTACTTCAGTGTTATTTGGCGTATTGTTCGGTGAAAGTTTCCATTGATTTTATGCAAGTTCGTTTAGATGGATTATCAGGCCCATTCTAATAAATCCGACCATTTGTTTAATAATTTCTATTCTTTGAAGGTATTGATTTCAGCAACGTTTACAAAGTCGACATGTGGAAATTCTCGACATTTCCAATTTTCTTTGGTCAAATTATTGGAGCTTATGAAGGCATCGGAACAGTTAAGTGACGAAAATTTTTTACTTGATGACGACCTTTTTGTCTTTTTCAACTTAATAAGTTCTTGGCCGCAAATCAATTAAAAAACCTTATTTCTTAGCCATGTTTCCTGAAGATGGGTAAACTATAGGAAACATTGTTTCCCGATTTGTCCACCTTTGGGAAACATGGCTAGGAAACAATGTTTCCTGTTTCAGAACCATCGGCTCAGAGATACGAAAAACCAGTTTCACATTATTCTAATAATATGAAACTGTTTCCTGGGTTCTCCATCTTCAGGAAACATGGCTAGGAAACAATGTTTATAAAACTACTTTATATTTATTTACTGCTTTATAAAACAAAAATTCTCGTCTTATTTTAGATTATTCCAATCGAAGCAAGCATGAAAGAGAATCGCAAAAACTTTCGCAACTATCTTCACGGCGCTATACTACTCCTTTCTATTATTCTTGGAACTTTTGGAATATTTGGCTACATTCATTTCACCGATGACGTTGAACAATTAATCAGTGACAACCTCCCCTACGGAACATTGTCAATAATAGTTCAAATAACCTTATGTGTGGGCATACTGTTTACGTATCCCTTGCAAATATTCCCGGTGGTTCAAATTGCGGAGAATTTCTTGTTTAAAGAGACGAAAGAGCGTAGCACGTTTACCGCAAGTTTTAACAGCGAGCATGCGAGTATACACTCTGGTACCCCGGGACTTCAATATGGGAACATAACGCCGGGGGATGAAAGTTCAGGTGATGAAAGTTCCGATACGGCGGAGCAGAATTCCGCGAACAGAAGCGCGGAGGAAATGGGTTCTATTTCGAAAGGTGGTTATAGCTTGTTAGTTCGAAGGCCTGGAGGCTTGTGTTCGTGTGATATGGTTAGTGATTGAACTGGATAATTTATACTGGATAATTTATACTGGATAATTTTATAGGCTCTGAACTGTTCTTCCTAGAGGTCCAGTAAGGATCATCTCTTATTGATCCAGTGTTACTACAGGAGGAAACCTGAACTAAACTAACTTTATTTATAATGGATAGCTCTATTAGTTCTAAACTGTTCTTCCTAGAGGTCCAGTAAGGATCATCTCTTATTGATCCAGTGTTACTACAGGAGGAAATCTAAAATAAAGTAACTTTACAGTATCTATACTATATAGATATCTATCAGTTCTAAACTGTTCTCCTAGAGATCTAGTAAGGATCATCTCTTATTGAACCAGTGTTACTACAGGAGGGACCCTAAACTAAATTAAATTTATTTATACTGGATAGCTCTCTCAGTTCTAAACTGTTCTTTCTAGAGGTCCAGTAATTAAGGATCATCTCTTATTGATCTAGGGTTACTACAGCAGGAAACCTAAACTAAACTAACTGTATTTATACTGGATAGCTCTATTAGTTCTAAACTGATCTCCCTAGAGGCTAGAGGTCCAGTAAGATCCTTCCTGAACAATGTAAACAATCATTTCTAAACAATCTTATTCCACCTTACAGGGCTGGTCAACCTGGAAACGAAATATCGTGCGTACAATTCTAGTGATCTTGTCATTTGGTGTGGCGTACGTTTCCCGAAACTATTATGCATATATTGCGGCGATATCTGGCTCAATAGGCAGTTCCTTACTGGCGTTTATTTTGCCCTGTATATTTCACTTGATTATAAAGAGAGACACACTGCCAACCTATATCGTGGCTAAAGATATATTGCTCATCATTTTCGGGATAATTGCAGGAATAGTCGGTTTTGTTACAACTTTAATCAAAATTATAAAATAAGTTAATATCGGTGTTTCACGGTAGGTAATGTAGGGAGGCTCAGATGTGACTATCACTGTACCTCTTACAGGCTTAATACGCATTTGATTGGTAGAGTAAATGCATTTGATTGCAGGTCAATAGTAGTGGTAGGGGACGCGGTCGAAATCTGAACATCTCTAATATTACAAAAAGAGATTTGATTTTTAATTTTATATAACGAATCCAGGGTGTATTACTCCGAAAAAAATGGTCTTCTGTCAATCACAACGATATTTCGAAAGTTTTGTTATTTGACATCGTTTTGAAGGAAGATTATATAGTAAGTTTGAAAATTTAGATTAGGATTTTGCAATTTCTAACATTGTTTGGTTTCACATTGGTTGATAATTTGGTATATTTTCGGATTTTTAATAAAATATGCGAAAACATTTTTCGAGTGATATGCCCTCGTTTTATAACGTAAGTTTTTAAAATTTAGAATATACGATATGCATTACAATGTATAAAATATTGAATATTTTAATGTTTAAAATAATTTTAACTATACAACAGAGTCAGTTTGTTCTTTGACTAAGAGTTTTGAGAAGCGAGAGTTTGCGTGAGAGTTTGATGAGAGTTGAGAAGCGAGAGTTTGCATGAGAATTGAGAGTTTGCATGAAAGTTGATGAGAGTTGAGAAGCGCGTGTTTGCACGAGACTTTTCTCAACTCTCGTGCCCCGGTCAAACGAGAACAAGAAGTTACATGAAAGTTGGTGAGAGTTGAGAAGCGAGAGTTTGCATGAGAGTTTTCTCAACTCTCGTGCCCCGGTCAAACGAGAACAAGAAGTTACATGAGAGTTGATGAGAGTTGAGAAGCGAGAGTTTGCATGACAGTTTCATTAGAGTTGAGAAGCGAGAGTTTGCAAGAGAGTTTTCTCAACTCTCATGCCCCGGTCAAACGAGAACAAGAAGTTGCATGAAAGTTGACTGGATATTACCTAGATATTACCGTGCGTGTAGCGAAAACTCTGATCAACTCTTATTAAAATTTGAGCCAGTTCAAAGTCGAGAGTTGGAACTCTCATCCTCGTTTGACTAATTATTTGCGCACTTCCACGAGTATAAACGAGCCGACGAAAGCGTTACTGCTATCATTACCCCATGAAGAGCGCACGCTCGCTAATCACACGACGTCACAATGAGGCACTCCACCACCACAACTCCTCCTCGCGTCCAAAATGTTGCAACGACGAAAAATTCACAAACGAGTCCGTTTTGATGTGAATCCATTGCTCGACCGAGACGCGGACACTCCCGAGGACGAGATTACTGAAAATAATAAACAAATCCACGAATCTGAAGTTTTTGAAGAAGATCCGTTAGACGCGAGCAAAGATTTCGGAGAAGGAATCATTTTAACTGAGAGAGATTTCTGGGACTACGTGTATAGCCATGTGTGGTCGGGACGTCTGCGAGTGTGCGAGGGAAATTTGTTGAGGACTTTAATACGAGTGAGTGAAGTTTAACTTATGATTACTATTAAAAGCTCTCTCTCGTCCTCTTTTGATACAGGCTTAACTGGATTCTAGGTTTCGAACTGACAGAACTATATAGCTATCCATTATAAATATGGCCCCGTTTACACTATACCGGATTGCTATCGGAGTGGGTCAAATTTTGTAGGTATCGAAAGGCTGTGAAGTTTTTTAATCTCAGAGACCCAAATAAACATGCCAATTCTGTCAAACTAATAAGCATTTGCTACTAACCATTGCTCCGTAAAGGCAAAAGAAGATGTCGTGACCAGCGAATCCGGTATAGTGTAAACAGGGCCTAAGTTAGTTTCATATAAGTTTTGTTTTACCTAGGTTTTCAATGAGTTGGTTGTGAACCGTAAGTTGGGATCCGCAGAATCCACTCAATATCATCAAGCCGTTCAGTTGAGAGGCAGACATAGAAAAAACACGCTGTTTGTTGGGAGAGCAAAGATAACAACGAATAAATTTAGACGAAAGAAGAAGAAACGAGAACTCAAGATGGAAGATTATTTGGCGAGCTCTAATAATCAAGTAAGTTAAACCCTCTAACGCTTGGACACATCCCATTGACAGTCGTCTGGTGTCAACTGTCCTTAACTAAGTACTCAGGACAAACTGAGAAACATGAATTGTTTTTAGAAGAATAATTTTAGAAGAATATTGAATTGTTTCCCCACCATTTTTCCAAAAGGTGAACAAACCAGGAAACATTGTTCCCTAGCCATGTTTGCCAAAGGTGGTCAAACCAGGAAACATTGTTCCCTAGCCATGTTTGCCAAAGGTGGTCAAACCAGGAAACATTGTTTCCTAGCCATGTTTCCCGAAGGTGGGCAAACCAGGAAACATTGTTTCCTAGCCATGTTTCCCGAAGGTGGACAAACCAGGAAACATTGTTTCCTAGCCATGTTTCCCGAAGGTGAACAAACCAGGAAACATTGTTCCCTAGCCATTTTTCCCAAAGGTGGTCAAACCAGGAAACACTGTTTCCTAGCCATGTTTCCCAAAGGTGGGCAAACCAGGAAACATTGTTTCCTAGCCATGTTTCCCGAAGGTGGGCAAACCAGGAAACATTGTTTCCTAGCCATGTTTCCCGAAGGTGGGCAAACCAGGAAACATTGTTTCCTAGCCATGTTTCCCGAAGGTGGATAAACCAGGAAACATTGTTTCCTAGCCATTTTTCCCGAAGGTGGGCAAACCAGGAAACATTGTTTCCTAGCCATGTTTCCCGAAGGTGGGCAAACCAGGAAACACATTGTTTCCTAGCCATGTTTCCCGAAGGTGGGCAAACCAGGAAACACTGTTTCCTAGCCATGTTTCTCGAAGGTGGGCAAACCAGGAAACATTGTTTCCTAGCCATGTTTCCCGAAGGTGGGCAAACCAGGAAACATTGTTTCCTAGCCATGTTTCCCGAAGGTGAACAAACCAGGAAACATTGTTCCCTAGCCATGTTTGCCAAAGGTGGTCAAACCAGGAAACATTGTTTCCTAGCCATTTTTCCCAAAGGTGGGCAAACCAGGAAACACTGTTTCCTAGCCATGTTTCCCAAAGGTGGACAAACCAGGAAACATTGTTTCCTAGCCATGTTTCCCGAAGGTGGGCAAACCAGGAAACATTGTTTCCTAGCCATGTTTCCCGAAGGTGGGCAAACCAGGAAACATTGTTTCCTAGCCATGTTTCCCGAAGGTGGGCAAACCAGGAAACATTGTTTCCTAGCCATGTTTCCCGAAGGTGGGCAAACCAGGAAACATTGTTTCCTAGCCATGTTTCCCGAAGGTGGGCAAACCAGGAAACATTGTTTCCTAGCCATGTTTCCCGAAGGTGGGCAAACCAGGAAACATTGTTTCCTAGCCATGTTTCCCGAAGGTG